AAGAGGGGGATGTTTGGAGCAGAGACCTAGAGGCTCCTAGAGGAGAGTGAGCTTAGTATGCTGTTAGTGAGCAGGGAGTCTTTCTAGGACTCCTTGTGCCGTATCGCAGCCACGGTAGGAAAGAGCTGGAGGTGAGTCGGCCTCAGCTGGCTTCCACATGCCGTCCAGCTGCCTGTGTGTTCCTAATGTACTGAAGTTGGCATTGGTAGGAGCACTGGGTGGAAAGTCAGGGCAAGGGAGCCATAGATGCCGGCTTTTCCTCCTCCAGGCTCTTCTCCCTGTGTGTGGGGCGGCACTGAGGGTCAGGCTCAGCGTCTGAGAATTAGATGTGGGGGGTGGGGGTGGGGCGCGAGCTTCTCCATCCTCTTGGGTGACACTTGCTGTCTCCCCCCCCCCATGCAGCTAACTCGTTACCTGCTGTGCTCACCTTGGGCTCTCCTGAGTGGGAGGAAGAGGAGGAGGAGGTGGACCTTCGAGCCTTCAGGGAGTTGAGGCCCTTCTCGAACCCAGAGCTGGGGCTGACAGATGCCCTCCAGTGTCTCAACAGCAATGATTGGTGAGGAGGCCCCTTCGTTGTATGGCCTGTGGCTTGGGCGGTGGGGAGTTATTTAGGGGGGATACAGAAGAGCTCCAGCCCCCCAACTTCCCTCTTCCTTTACCCCTAGGGTCTGCTACTATGGAAGAAGTGTGTGTGTGTGTGTGTGTGTGTGTGTGTGTGTGTATGTGTGTGTGTGTGTGTGTGTGTGCGTGCACACATGTAGGTTTATTTTGTAGTCTCTAACTTCTTGTACATGCCCTGGGCCCTCCCAAATGACCCCATGTATTGTTCTGTGACATGTTAGAGTTAGCCATGACCAGTAGAATTTGACTATAGAACAAAGAGACCGAGAAAGGTCACAGCTTTGTTCTTCTACATCAAGTTTATTAGTTTATGTGTTTTTCAAACAGAGTCTCATGTATCCCAGACTGTCCTTGAACTTGCTGAGAATAACCTTGAACTTCCGATCCTTCTGCCTCTGCCTCCTGAGTGCAGGGATGACAGGCATGTACTGCCATGCACAGTCTATGTGGCGCTGGGCCTTGTGCATGCTGCATAAGCATTCTACTAATAAAGATACGTTCCCCATCTAAATGGAGTTTAATGAGCGTCCTTCCACTATGCAAGTGAGACATAGGATCTTAGTCTGTAGTGAAGCAGTGGTCCAGAACTCTTGCAGAAACCTTCCAATTTCCAGGCCTCCCTGTAAGCAACTTGTCTTGGCCTTGTCTGTCTTGTGTGGAAGACCCAAACAGGTCCTGAGTGGCCGGAGTGGAGGGCCAGCCATGAGCCCATCAACCAGCTTGTATTGACCTGCTAGGACCCCGGGCCTGGGTGTCGCCACCCTAGAAACCTTGCTTCTGAGGCCGTGAAATCACAACTTGCTTGGGGGGTTGTCTGCTGAGAAACAGGACTCCTCCTCCCCTCCCGTGACAGGCCTGGCCTTGCTTCTCAGGCAAATGAAGGAGAAGGGCCTGGCGAGCATCCAGCGCCTGGCAGCTTGTCACTCGGAGGTCCTGGGCACCCGGCTGCATGATGTGTCCTTGGCAGTGACTGCGGAGGTGAGGCCTGCCCACAGCTTCTGTACTTCGACACGTCCCCTAGTCATACCCTTTCCCTGGCACAGCTGTTTGGGTGAGTTACACCCCAGCCATGAGAGACTCTGGATCTCTGGATCGTGGCCATCTCTGCTTATTCATTGGCCTCCAACCACTGAGGTAGGAGGAGGTCCCCACCCATCATCCCTCAGGTACCAGCCCTGAGACTCAGGCTCTCTTTATCTGCAATCCTGTAATCTCTGGGCGTTGAAGCATTTGGACTCGCTGTCCATTGTCTTCTGTACTTGTCTAAAGAGAGATGGAGTACCCTGGGGTGATCCTCAACCTCGGGGCTGTTGTAGCATTTCCCAAGGCTTGGGTCTCAGCCACGGTCCCGCCCTGAGAGCCGGTAACACAAGCTTGATCCCTGTAGAGGCCAGTCTACACCCTTGGGAACAGACTGCCCTCGAAGGGGCGGGACGCTTGTGAATACAGAGGACATTGTGTTGACTCTTGGCTGGTCTGCACCATGTGATGCAGGATTAGTCTCTTCCTCTGCAGAGGGAGTGTGGTGTGGAGGACCCAGGGAGTTTTTAGCTCATGGTTTCGGGGGGATTTCAACCCATCGTGGCTGGGAAGCGTGGCAGGTGGGAATGTCTCTGCATGGGGGTGGGAGTGTACAGAGCGACTTGTCCACATAAAGGCAGATACGGCTAACAGAGAGCCCGAAGGAGAAAGGGGCGGGGCCAGAACAGTCAAAGGCCTGCCCTAGTGACCTACTTTCACTGGTTAGGCTCCACCTCCTGGAAGTTCCCTATCTTCCTAGAAATGGCACCGGCAACTGGGGAATGAATGTTCACAGCATGGACCTGGAGGGAACATGTTGAATTTAAAGCAAATGTACACATTTCCGATCTTGTTGAGAATGGAATTCATAGTTGCGATGATAACGGAGTGGGGTGTGATAATAACAAAACGAGGCTGTTCTGCCCAAAGATGCCGAAAGGTTTTTCTTTTCTACTGTGGCAGAGGATGACAGAGCCTCGGCCCGAGTGAGGGGGCAGCAGAGGGGCCCACATGGTGTGTTCAGAGGCCTCGGGAAGGTACCATTGTCCTGGAGGCTCCTTCTCCTCTCTCTCTCTCTCCAAGGTCACCAACCTCCGCTCCAAGGTCTCCCGCCTGGCCATCAGCACCCTGGGAGACCTCTTCCGGTCTTTGAAGAAGAGCATGGACCAGGAGGCTGAGGAGATTGCCCGCTGCCTTCTGCAGAAGATGGGGAACGCCAGCGAGTTCATCCAGCGGGCAGCCAACCGGGCACTGGGTGCCATGGTGGAAAATGTGACCCCTGCTCGTGCACTGGTGGCCCTCACATCTGCGGGTGTCTAGTATGTGGGGTGTGCATGCGTGTGCGTGTGTGTGTGTGTGTGTGTGTGTGTGTGTGTGTGTGTGTGTGTGTG